ACGAGCTAGGAACAGTAGCTCACCCTGAATTCTGATATGTTGGAGACTGGCTAGAGTTGCAGACGAGTCGAAGTCGATGGCACGTTTGCTGCACTCCATAATTAACAAAGAGAAGAAAATACAAGTAGAGGTCAGTACAAGGAACAAGTACTGAGTAGGTATCATCGACCAACTCAAAATAGAAAGCAATATATATCGAATAATAATATAAAATCAGCTACCTTACTTAACTGGTGACAACAATAAGTACAAGAAACATTAACAACAACACCAAGCGCATCCATGAGGACTCAAGCCTCCACATCATACTCATTTGGGAAATAGGTTCTTTAAGTTTGAGTATATTTCCATAATTCAAGATTCATTCTCTTTATTTCTCTTGTGTCGGAACGTGACACTCCGATCCCCTAATACTACATGTCGGTTCGTGACACCCGATCCCCTAATACTACGTGTCGGTTCGTGACACCCGATCCCCTAATACTATGTGTCGGTTCGTGACACCTGATCCCCTAATACTACGTATCGGTTCGTGACACCCGATCCATTAAACTCATTCTTTTAGTTCATCAAGCCTTCTTTTATATCAGGCATCATCATTAATAGAGTGGATTTAAGGTTTTTAAGATTCCACAGTATCATCATTATAATCCATCACCATTTACATAATCTCAACATGCAACAACACAATTAAGCATATAGAAGACTTTACAACACCACCCAATACATATTAATCGCTATTTAGAGTTTACTATGAAATAGCATAAACCATAACCTACCTCCACCGATGAATCGTGATCAAGCAAGCTACTTCTCAAGGTCTTTGCTTTCCTCTTCGTTCTCTCTTCTCTCGCTCGTTCATTCTCCTCTTCTTGTTCTTTTTATTTTTTCCTTCTCCAGATTCTTTTTCTTTTACCCTAATTATCATATAATTCATTATGATAAAAGTAACCCATTGTTTATTTTAAGGTTATCTCCTTTAACCCCCAAGTAAATAAGTTATTAAACTTACCCACTAATTTCATACAGTTTGTCATAAATAGTCCAAAACACCCCTTAAAACTTTTTAGCAGAAATCCGACCCAGTCGAGGTTATGCCACTCGTGACGGCCCGTCGTGCCTGCGACGGTCCGTCCTGCAGGGTCGTCACAGAGTTCAGAGACTCAACTTTAGCGAAGATGCTTGTGACGGTCCGTCGTGTCTACGACGGTCCGTGCTGCTCTTCCGTTGCGAAGTTCAGAGAGTCGATCCCAGTACCCAGATTTTAGAGTTTAAGTGTTTTGACATGAAGACACTCGACGGTCCGTCGTGACCATGACGGTCCGTCGTGTGATCCGTCGACACAGTCAGTTATTATCAAAAGCAATTCTACTGCTCAAAACGACTAAACAGGTCGTTACAATTACGTATTAAGGTATGTATTACTATTTATTAATACCATAAATTTCTAGGTATCAATAAGATAAAATATTTAATACATACATTAGCATGATTAAAGTCCCCTGATATCTTTCCTATCATAATTCTGGAGAATATTTGTCACTACTGGAATCTAGACCCCGGACGAGACCGGCGTCGTTGACCTCTCAGAGGTCGCAAACAAGTCTACTTACGTCATCCTTACATTACATAGGTTAATTTTAGCGGAAAATTTGAAACTTTTGGTTCTTTAAACATACTTGCTAAACATTCTTAACATTTCATAACATGATAGTAACGCTAGTGGAACATGCTCCACTAGCTCAACTCAAAAACACGCTAGAATGAAAAAAGTAGCATCCTCAAAAGCATGAGGACCTACCGAACTCCGGATGAATGCTGACGTCCGGATAGCTGCAACAATGACCCTGTAGCTCTATCGCCCACCTGTGCCTGCACCTAAAATAGTATAGATGTATAGGGTTAGTACATACTTGTAGTAAGTATGGGTATATGCAAGCTCACACCAAGGACATGCATGAGAAAGAATAGCTCTTTCCTAACGACATGATTTTTGGAAGTCAAGTCAGTTGACTTGCCAAATTGAGATAAGGAAAGTTAGTGAACTTTTCAATTTGAGTTAGGGAGGTCATGCCACGAGGGTAACATGCATCATTATAAATATCGTATTGCACACAACACATGACATCTCCATGTAGCACATATATAGCACATAATATATAGCACATAGCTTCTTTTATATCATTCGTTCATATGCCACGAGACCTTGTTATCATGGACTTGACATTAAGACTTTCCAAAATAAGGGCTCAACATATGGGACCTCAACTAGGGAGTCTTCATTAGCAAACACAGAGTCTGCTTCATTCATTCATACATAGTTCATTTCATTTCATTCATAGGCTAGTGTGAACACCAGCTATACCTAGGATGTAGTTTAAGACTTTCATCGGGTTTGCTATGCAATGATCAAGAATAACCTAATGTCATTACCTGAGTCTAGCTCACCTCTTAATTATCCTTTCCTAACATCTTCGGTATTATTCATTTCTTTATGTAATTCATTTGAGGCTGGACGCATTCATTCATTGGGAACTTTAACTTTAACCGACATAGATCATGCGAGCATCATGAAATCCAGTGTCTCTCCCACACCAAAAAGAGGTGGAATAACCGGCCAAAGTGACTCAATAACATGCTAGCGTATATGGAAATTTAACCCCGCTAGATCCCTATATTGGCAGTATAGGTTCAAAGACTAGGACATGTATGGATACCCATACTCGGCAAGCCGGACAGTCTCATCTCATGAGAGTTACGTGAACCTTCGCCCTTCCTGAAAGAAGGCATCACTGCTCATAGCTAGCCTATCGGTGCTCAGTATAAAGTTCCATTACATTCAACTCATACGCCATGGAAGCTGGTTTCTAGTATGAGGACAACATAGCTCATTAGATGATTTCTCATCTCATCATTAGTATTAAGTGTGTTAAACTCAATACTTTCATTAGAGTGTTCATAGAGACTCGTCTCTTCATTATCTTACACGCTCATTGGTGAGTAAGTATTGATAACATTTACTTAGGCTCATTTGAGATTGCTCTCATCATATACATTAGCCTCATATCATGTTGTCACCATATTCTTCATTTTTAGCGCCCATGCTTTTCATAGTTACTCACCTCTTATTATGTGAATGTTCATTTCTTCATTTCATAGTTCATCTCATCATATGCCAATGCACTTGGCCATTTAGTGTATCTTACACTCGTACTTAAACCTCCTAATGTTCGTCATTTCATTACGTACATCTTAGGTTTACTTATTTTTGAACGTATGTTAGACTTATGTGTCTATACATACAAGCCATGAGGCTTCATTCATAGTTCGCTAGGTGATTCTTACTTCCCTAAGATTATTATTACAAGACTTATTTAATTTATTAAGCTATGCTTTAGTGAGGTCTGGGGTTCGATCCCTACAGACCTCACCTATTTTTTATTTATTTTCAGACGCCCAATATTTTCAGAAATCACATGCAGTCGATTTCCAGATTCTGGAACTTTGTTGCATATTTTTATGCAGCATTTTACGGGACATTTGAGCACCTCTTTCTTAGTCGTTCGTTGGATTCTTAAGACAAGTTAAAGGTATGATTTGGTCATTTGTTTTAACTAGAATTTCTAGCATTTCAACCATGTGAATATCACGATTTTGAGAGCTTCTAATTGCACATAAAACACGAGTAATCTCTATGATATTAACATGCTAAAGAAAGACTCAAAGTCATGATCACAATCTTGCACAAATACGTACGTATTTACATTCATATTTCCGAAAGACACAAAATATAAACACATAATCGAAACGAGATCATCACCACAAACATAGTATCCCTAAATTCTACCAACAAGAATACCCAACGTAAGATCATAGGGAGCTAGTGACAGGGACATGCAACGGGAAACAACCTTAGTTTCGAGGTGAATAGTTTGAATCGTAAGGCCTCTTGGGAAAGGAACCAAGAGAGAAGAAACCCATACCTTAATTTGCTTGATCAAACGTGAAGCTGCTGCCCAAAAATCTTCTCCTTGCCTTTACATTTTGGTTACTTTGTTTTTCTTAAAATTTCTTGTGAGTTCTTCAAGTGTGAATAACTCTTGATGTATTTTCAGTTCTTGAAGGGTTTTTCCCCCGCACGTGTGTGAGAAAGATTGAGAACGTGAGAGAGAGAGACGGTGAACGTGAGAGAGACGGTGAACGTGAGAGAGAGAGAGTTATTAGGATTAGGAGACTAAATTCAAGACTTAGTCAAAATAGGATTTAATTAACTTAATAAAAAATCTGATTTATCCATTATGCCCTTAAAATTTCAAATTTTTTAAAAAATAATTAAATCACCTTAAGTACCTAATATTCGATTTTTAGGATTGTTACATTATTTTTATGCTATGCGTACAATTTTTAATACACCAAATCCAACAATACATAAAAATTTTCTATGTATGTTTAATGGCTTAATGCAACTATGCAAGTATAACTACACAATTACTCTCAACTTTAATTCCAAATTCAACACAATTACTCTCAACTTTAATTCCAAATTCAACTTATTTCCAAATTATTTATCAAGAACTAATACCTCCATTTTTTTTAAAAAAATGACCTCCTTTTCTTTTTAATCTGTTTAAAAAAGAATGACCTCTTTTATTTTTTGTAACATTTTAGTTTTAATTTTCCACATGACATATTTAATGCCACAAGATCAAAGGACGATTTTATACATTTAACCTAACTTTAATTTAGGACCACAAAATTCAAAAGTTTTCTTTATATATTTAAACTCTGTGTCAAGTCAAATCATATCATTCTTTAAAAAACAGAAAGAGTAATTATTATAATAAAGTATACATATTTATCATTATTTTTCTAAAGAATAAAGAATAATACCAAATTTAAATAAACAAGTAAAAATAAATAAAAACATATTTCAAATCATGATATCTTACAAATTATAATCCGCCCCGCCCGCCCGCCCGCCCGCCCGCAAACGGTGCAATTAAAAATGGTATTTCCTTATTTGTAACAAAAAGTTTGAGTTACACAGTATTTTGAATTTCAAATTCACTCTCTCCCCTCTCTCTATAAAACCCTAATAAATGTTTTTGGGTTGTTGAATTTTTTTGCAGTTTTGAACAAGTTCAGGTTCGATTCTCGTTTGGATCCTTTAATTCCTTTGAATTTATCGATTAACTTGTTTTGTGTTCTTCGTTTTTTTATTTTTTAATGTTTAATCGGTTTAGTTTACAGTCTTGTGTTGTGATCCGCTAAATTTTCGTGTATATGTTTGTGTTGTGATGAAAAATTCATATTTTTGCTTCCATTGTTTGTTATATATATATATACTGAAATTGTTGTTATTAAGTATGAATAGATAGATAGCGGACTGGTTGTTGTTGCTACAGTTCTGTCATGTGTGGCTAGGTTTACTTTGGAGCAGCTTAACTAGGAGGAGGGAGAGGGGGGGGGGGGATTCGTAGATTAAACATTCGGCTAAAAAATGGTCAAATTGTGTACGTGGTACTTGTTGCAGGTGGGAGTTGATAGGTATCTTATGGAATTAGTAGGTGAAATTTGGCTTGGGCACTAGGATTATTAAAAAAAAGTTAAAATAGGGTGGAATGGATATGTTGAATTTATATAGCCAACACACTAGTTTGGGATTGAAGCGGGTTGAGTTGGTTTAAGTTGTGTTGTTTCCTTTCGAGCATCATGAAATAAATGAAGGTTTTGATAGATTTGACATTAAGTCTAGAAACAGTCAAATTGTGTACCTGGCACTTGATGCAGGTGGGAGTTGATAGGTATCCTGTGGAGTGCATGCAAGCTAGCCTGGACACTGTGTTTATCAAAAAATAAAATAAAATAGAGTGGAACGGATACACTGAATTTATATAGCCAACACACTAGTTTGGGATTGAAGCGTATTGAGTTGATATAAGTTGTGTGGTTCCTTTCGAGCATTACAAAGTAAATGAGAGTTTCTGTAGATTTGATATTCAGTCTGAAATTTATCAAATTGTGATGAATCCTCTGAATAGGGACGAATGGAGTGTAATGGATACACTGGATTTATACAATCAACCCACTAGATTTAAGTTGTGTAGTTTCTGGTAATTTTTTGCCAAATTGGTGAGTTTTTGTTTGAACAATTTGATATAATGTAGTGTCCTCTTCCTGCTTTCACACTGTTGATATTGATTTTGAGGTTACAATATAACAACAACAACAACAAACAACAACAAACCAAACCTAGTGTAGTCCCATAAGCGAGGTTTAGGGAGGTCGAATGTGTGCAGACCTCACCCATATCTTGTGGAGGTAGAGAGGTTGTTTCTGGAAAATCCTCAGCTCTAGTAACACACATTAAAATCAGTTTAACGGGAAATACAGAAGTAAAGAGGACATAACAAGGTTTGAGGTTACAATGTGGAAGTTAATCTTGCTTTCTGGGTCTTCTTTTAACTATGTGTAAGATTCAATTTTGGAACTTGAATGGGCTATGGTTAAGCCGGATAACTTTTCAAACTCAAAAGTTATAAAAAGAAGAAGCTATTTGATTCTGTTGTACGGAGCTTAGTATTAAGCTGTAGAGCTGGAAATAAGGTTCGCAGATGGAGTGTGAAGGGTTCTTGAGATACTGTCACGTTGGTATCATACTTTCGCTGGCCGTGCTTTCCTTTCCATTGATTGCAGCCCGATTTAACTTCTACTTAGCTAAAAATACATGAAAGCACCCTTCGGGGTGACTCAGTGGTTTGAGCTTGGGACTTCCATGTTGGAGGTCTCAAGTTTGAGACCCCTTGCCAGCGAAAGCAAGGGGTTTGCCTTCTGGGTCGAGCTCGTCGCACTAGGCTTGTCTAGTGCGGGTTACCTCTCCTATGTGGTTTGCGAGCTATTGCATAGGAGCGGGTTTTACCCTGTGCTCACCCAAAAGGGTAGCGGCTGTGGGTTTCCCTTGCTGTTAAAAAAAAAATCAAAAAAAAATCATGAAAGCATGCAACTTGCAGTTTGCAAGTCTATTCATTTCTGCTTCTCGCCATGGTGTATGTTAAAAGTCAACTTTAAGCGTTACTGCAGAAGTGTATTTAGTAAATCAAAGATACTTGAATTACTGCTAGTTCTTGTCCCTTGCGTTATGATGAAAATAAAACCCTAGCATAACTTCAAATTTATCTGTCTTTCCCTGTTCTTGATATATAATTTCACTTGACATTTTAGGAATTATACTGTCGAAGCTAACCCTTGAGATATCACGACTGTGCAAAGCATGAGTTCCCAAGAAAGTAGTGCACAACCAATTAGGCGTACAAGGTCCCAGTCAAGAAGAAATACTGTTCTAAATGTGGATCTAAATGCTGCACCGCCAGCTGAGAACAGAATTCAGGAAGGAGATCCTATTCATGTTGTGTCTGGGGATACACCACAAGGACGAAGAGGTTCCTCTTTGACAGCTGGAGCAATTGATGTTGAGGCACTTGATGATGATGTGATTATATCATCCCCTAGGGCGTTTGCAGTAGTATGTACTTCCCCATACTATTCTATTTTCCTTTGTTAAGATTGTTTAGTGGTACATCATGTTTGTGATTACGGCTGATGTTCACATCAAGTCTAATATGTTAGATATCTTCTCATTTTTCATTAGGCTAAGAACAACTCTAGAAGGAATCAAGGACGGGTTATTGTGCTTGATGTGGATTCTGGTAATTTATTCTTCTCTTAAGCCTGTTACACCTGCAGGTTATTTGTTTGTGTTTAGCTATAGAACTTTTTTTTCCCAATCAAGAGCTATAGAACTTTTTTATTTGCTTTAGATAGGAATGATCTGACTAGAATTGCTTAGAGTAACCTCTTTTTTTCTTCTTTAAAGGTTAAGTAGATATGTGATTGTAATTATAGTATTCTCTTTATGAGTGGAGCAAGATGATCTTTCCTGGACCTATGATAATCGTCTCTTTCTTTGAGGATTCCAATTCAATGTACGAAATTTGTGCACTCAAGGAGTGTCTGTTCTGATGGAATGGAGGATTTTATTAATTCTTCAGGATTAAAATGAATCTTAAAGTGACATATTACTTCGCCAGTATCAACTGAACTTTCTTTAGAGTATATTCTTTTTCTAATCCTCTAATGGTTGGGAGAAGGAGGAGTGTGTAGATAACAAAATATACACAAGGTATTTGAGCTATGGCATGTATGGTGTTCTAATTAATTTTGCATCAAAAGTGCTTGACCTGATGTACTTTTGAGTTAGTACATTTGCATGGAGAGCTTGGCTTGAGTTATTTCTTCCATTACCCTTTGTGATTGACTTTGGTTGGAGCATGGCTATTGCAGAGGACCGTGCGTCTAGGGGTAACAGTCGCAACAGGCATAGAAGAGTCTCTACAAATCAAGCAGCAAACAATGGTGATATTCACATAGACCTAGAAGGACATAGCTGCCCAAAGGTACAGTCCATGTACTATATTTTGTTTATTTAAAAGAATATATTTTATGGATCTACCATCTCAAGTTTCGAAACGTTATTCTAATTAATTTTGTTCCCCATGCCAGAGAGTTGATCTAAGAAGTGCAATACCAGCACCACCAAAAGAGCCTACATTCAGCTGTCCAGTGTGCATGGGTCCATTAGTTGAGGAGATGTCAACGAAATGTGGTCACATTTTCTGCAAGGCGTGCATTAAAGCATCCATTGCTGCTCAGGGAAAATGTCCTACGTGTAGGAGGAAACTGGCCGCGAAAGACACCATAAGAGTATATCTTCCTGCCACAAATTAAGTCCAAGGTTTGTTTACCGCTCCCTCTTAACTTTTTTCTCTCTGTCCCCCTCTATTTCCTGAATAAATGGATAAGGATTTATTCTTTTATGTGCTTGTGTTATAATCTTTTCTGTCCACACAGGAAGTGCTATCGTTTGGTTCACTCCTTAAAGCTTTGCTACCTTTGCAGGTAGAACATGTCATGGCTATTATATAACATGGTTGATCACCTTCTTTGACAGGATTTTGCTATCATTTACATGACCTCTGGATGAAGTGTATGACTATGTGAGTGGAAGGGAAAGTATGACTGGAAATACTTTTTCAGTTTAGCTTTAGGTCTGAATCATTGATGGTACTCTTACAGTATGTGCCTTTAAAAGATTGGTGTAATTAGTAAATGGATTTAAGCTACATGCATTGACAACTTTTGTGATATCATTTGTGTAATATACCTTGAAGAAAATCTATGAACCATTCAGCAAGTTCTTGCCTATTCCCCTCCCCCACCCCCCACCCTTTTTTTAATAACCTAGAAATTCTCGAGCCAGTGGTACGCGGGTTGAACATGGTGTTCCCTTTTTCAATATCTGATACTTCCTCGGAGTGTCTTGTCAATGAAGAATATAGGGATGAATCATGGTTTTTTCTTCAACTTTTATCAATGAAGAAGAAAGTAGCAAACTAAGCTAGAATAGCTTTAGGCCTGTGTCTAGATTGGTGAAATGAAAAGAGCTACAAGAAGATCATAAGTGGAGAAATGGGTTCACCACCAAAGGTCTAGTTGGATGGTTGAGATTCTTGTATCCTTAACCAGTTGGGTTCAAATCCTATGCCCTATGAATAGAGACCATTTTGGTACATAGGCACTTTACTTCCTCATGGTCTATTCAAATCCTATGAATAGAGACCATTTTGGTACATAGGCACTTTACTTCCTCATAGTCTATTCATCGTGAATCGAGATTAGTCAGATCAGTGGACTTCAATAAATTGGATATCTTGAAAAATCGATTTCCTATTGTAATTGGATTTATATCAAGGCAAATCCTCCAAGGTTTTTGAATTCAATTACGTAGAAGATGAGAAGAAAGATATAGTGCACAAATATCTTTCTCATCCACACCATTTCGATATCGACTATTTAATAGAATGAAATTTAAATCCTTATGAGATTTTATATTATTGCATATTGATCGTTCGTAAGCTATCATACTCACTTCTTTTTCCCTATTTAACCAGATGATATTTGAATCTTACTGGCTTAACCACTTAAGTATGTTCTTTTTATAGATTAACACAATCTACACACACAAATATGGAACCAATTGGGTTGCATAATACATTGTACACGACCAAGAAACACAAATTTGTCAAAATACTAGAAACTATAGTAGCATCAATAATAAACAAAATTCACCTGATATGTTTATTTCCCAGTTCTTTTTCATTGAAATACAAATAAAGCTTCAACCATTGACCAAACTCTTCATAAAAGTCGGACTGGAGTAAGATAAGGACGAGTTTTTTTGGGTATATATGATTTTTTGCTCGAACTAAGTATACATACGTATAATTCATCATAGTCTTCTGAATCTTGGATTTGCCTCTCCAATTAGGTGGAAGCTTGACCATCTTTGCCTTGAGTTAGATACTTTGCAACCATAATCATTATGGCCACAAAGGGTTGAATACTAACAAATGAGGCATTAGCTATTGCTTCTTCCTTGACTTCATACTCAATTGTTGATTTTGTGATACATGTTTCTTTACCTTTCTCTACGACTTCAAACTTAACTTTATAAAGTGTAAATCCAACATCAAGAAGTCCACCTTCCACCACTTGAGCTATTTTCACCCTCTTATCATCATCAATAACAACAAATTTCTCTTTGTGAGATGTCAAAAGTGGTGTTCCTGGTGGAAATGTTACTCTGAGGACTGAATCAACACCACCATCACCTTCAAGTATATCGACCTTATGAACGATATTCGGAAGCTCTTTAACTACAATATGTGCTAGTTGAATAGTGCCATAGATTTTCCAAGCTTCATTTGCTGGCACATGAACTTCAATCTCTTCAGAAATTGTTCCAAACATGTTGTTTGTTAGAGTGAAAAATATAGTAGTTTTTATTATTGTATGTTTTCCTGTTAATGTACACTAAGTTATATGTATATATATATACATAAAAAAAAGAGATAATATTTGGAGCATATAATTGTTAGGCCTTGCCGAATGAATCTTATGTGATGTTGATATATGGCCGGCCAATTGTACCATCACACCTCACTATAAACGCCTCGTTCGTATCGAGATATTTTAAAACTTATGTAGAGACTGATACTACCTTCGTCACATTTTAAATGTCATTTTTCGGATTTCAAGAATGAAACAAGTCTATTTTTTATCATAAATTATCCATAGATCTTTTAAACAATTTGAATTATTAATTATTGTTACTAATAGTACTTTTTATGTAGTTTACAAATATATAAATTTCATTTCAAATAAATTAAAGATTTTATGCGCAAATTTCTATCAAACTTAAACTGTTTGACTCTCAAGACATAAAAGGTGTTATGTAAATTGGGACAGAGGGAGTATATACGTTTATTTGGATGTTAGGAAAAAAAAAAAGCAAAAAGAAAAACCTAATTTTCTAATGTTGTAAAAATAACAAAATTATTAAAATTTAAAATCTTAAATAGTATTTATGTTTCAATAATTCAAAATTAAAGAAGGATAATGCATCAATAATTTTTGTCTAATGAAAAATCAAATATGCGCGGATCTTTCAATGTAAATTACTTTAATTACCAGAAAATATTGTAATATATGAAAGTTTAAAATATTTGATCAAAATATTAACCTATACTATTTCTGTATCTGGTTTTATAACAATAAAGAATTTATTATTTTATGAAAAATAATGAACTAGCAATAAAAATGGGAATACAGTAAACTAAAGTAATTAATATTTGATAAGGTTATACTAAAAAGGGCCATTTTACAAAGATCCTACACCACTATTAATTAAATTATGGCAACTTTATAGCAAAGTTTGCATAATTGCGCTTCATAGCAAATATAGAAACTGTATAATTCGCTATACATATACAGTTGAAGCAAATTGTATAAAACGAAGTGTATAAAACAAGAAAGAGAAAGACACTTGGGCAGAGAACTGTATAAAAACGAAGTGTATAAAACGAATTGTATTATTATAAGTGTAAAGAGCGATTATATACAATTTGAATTTGTATAAAATGAGAAAGAGAGAAAGACAAAAGAGATTTGACAAGGAATATACAATTGAATCGAATTATATAAAACGAGAAAGAGAGAAATTAATACAATTTGAAAATTGTATAAAACGAGAAAGAGAGAAAGACAAAAGAAACTGGGCAAGGGAGTATTTTTATTGTACAATTATAAGTGTATATGTCACGACCCAAATTGAGCCGCGACTGGCACCCACACTTAACCTCGTATGTGAGCAAACCAACCAATCTAAACCTTAATCATTTCAATATAATATCAACAGAAAGTAATGCGGAAGACTTAAACTCATTAATAAAAACCAATTCAATAACTTCTAAAAACTCAACAACTATTATTATCCCCAAAATCTAGAAGTCATCATCACAAGAACATCTATCCTCAAATTACTAAGACTAAGAGTATCTAAGAAACTAAACATAAATAAAAAGCTAGTCCATGCCGGAACTTCAAGGCATCAAGACATGAAGGAGAAGATCCAGTCCAAGCTAGAAGCATTAGCTCACCCTGAAATCCGGTGTAATAAAGACTGGCTAGAGTTGCGGTTCATTTGAACTTGACGGTACGTTTGCTGCACTCCACAAATAACAAAGAAAGAAACACACAAGTAGGGGTCAGTACAAAACACGGGTACTGAGTAGATATCATCGGCCAACTCAGAATAGAAAACAGTATATATCAGATCATATCATAAATCAACTACAATACTCAATCTGTAGCAACAACATGTACAAGAATCTTTGATAAATAATGTCAAGTACACTCATGAGGACTCAAGCCTCCATATCATACTCATTTGAGAATTAGGTTCATTAAATTGAGTATATTAACATCTTTCAAGATTCATTATCTTTATTCCTCTCGTGTCGGTACGTGGCACTCCGATCCTCATCATACTATCCTGGTGTCGGAACGTGACAATCCGATCCCCTATTACTATGTGTCGGAACGTGACACTCCGATCCCCTAATTCTACGTGTCGGTTCATGACACTCGATCCCCTAATTCTACGTGTCGATTCGTGACACCCGATCCCCTAATTCTACGTGTCGGTTCGTGACACCCGATCCCCTAATTCTACGTGTCGGTTCGTGACACCCGCTCCACTAATCTCATTCTGTCAATTCATCAAGCCTTCTCTTATACCGAGGCATCATCATCTCATTACTTTAGTTCATCAAGCCTTCTTTTACATCAAGGCATTATCATTAACAAAGAGTTTTTTCAAGATTTAGGATTCAATAGCCTCATCAGGCTTATTTTATCACAATTACATAATCACATTCATGCAAGCATACAATTAAGCATATAGAAGGGTTTACAACACTACCCAATACATATCATTCGCTATTAAGAGTTTACTATGAAAAGCATAAACCATAACCTACCTCCACCGAAGAATTTTGATCAAGCAAGCTAATCCTCAAAATCTTTGCTTTCTTCTTCG